TTTTGTATGGATTATTTCTTTTTTAAGAGGGTGGGGGGTTTCAAATAATAAATTTATAATATTCCTGTTCTGCTTTTCTGCATTCAGGATGTTTTGTGTATTCTGAATTGAGTGCAACCAAGCAACAGTTTTTCCACTTTATAAGCACCCATGAACTGTAAGACTCTCCAAAAAATATTCAAGTGCTATGCTGGAAAAATCCCATGCATACTGTTTTTCTAATCCTATGCAATCTAAAGAAAGAAATCAAAATTTATCCCAAAGAGCAAGGAACAGCTATCTTTCATTAGTAATTTAATTTCTTCCCTTGGTAAGACTGAGTTGTGTGAAAAACATGCTGTATTTTACTGACTGTACCCTGTTTCCTAGCACGGGAGTGTGGAGCAAACTTCCAGCACCAGAGCAGGGATGTCCCAGCAGAGGGAAAAACGTCACACCTAGAGACTGCACCAAGAGTACTTACAAAAGCCATGACCACTGCCTCTGCATATTTATTAAATAAAGAAAAGCCAGGTATCTGCTGTGGTTGCTGCAACACATAAAGTCAGAACAACACAGAAAGGGAAATGACTGAAGGTCTCTGATAGGTAGGAAGCAGCATCTGTCCTCTTGCATACATCAAACACAGCTTAATAACTTCCTATTTACTGCTTCATGGCAGAGGCCCAGTAAATAAACAACCTGACTGAATCAGTCGATTTTTCTACCTTTGTCCTGTATAACAAACTTCTTGAACCACGCTTAATGTGAACGGCAAATTTCACACTGCACGCGGACATCTCTCAGCACAGATTAAATTAGTTATAATAAAACAATTAAAATCTATTTGCCCACAGACAGGAGGAAATGAAGGACCTGGCTGAGCCACAGAAAGGTAAAGGGTGGGTTGTCAGGGCACCAGGAGAGTAAACAGCAGAGCCGTGGTTCTCAGGAGCAAAGCAGGGTCAAACTTACTGTGAGATAACCGCGCGGGATATAATAAATCAGGGCTCCGTGTTGCACTCCAGATGGCTGTGCCATGCAGGAAGGCACAGTGGATCATGTAGCTGTGGTTGTTTCTAAGGATTACTGATTCAGCCTGCCTTCACAGGGATATCCTAACAAATAAAATCTTTATGGCCCCTTCCGCTGGTGAACATTTTCATCTACTGGTTAAAGTCAGGACATGTCGTAGCATTTGCACTGCCCCGATACATATGCAAAATTAATTTAAGTTCACACAGTTTTGGCTGGTAAAGGCTTTTTGATTATCTAGTACTGTAAAGTTGCTTCACAGCATTTATTGTAAATACTCTGATGGACAGACAGGCCATTGTTCTGAGCTTTAGCTTGGCTGAGTCCCCCAAGTGTTCCAGGCGTACAGGCAAACACACTTAAAAACTCCTAAACCTATTGAGTTGTCTTTCAAAATTGTCCAGGCAACAGAATTTATTTATAAAACTCTGCAATCATTGATTCAAAACAAGGTTTTCTTGTTCTGCTTTTCTTCTTTGTCCTCTTTGAACGATTTTCTCTGGAATGTTTTCGTTGTGCTTAGGAGTCGGAGATTTCCTGCGGCTTCTAATAAAGGCATTTGATTTCCACTCTCCACATACTTTAACACATCCAAGGATTTTGAGGTTTGACATTAGCTTAAGAGAGCTGGAGATAATCAGCCATGGGAGTAAAAAGCCAGAGTTACGCAAATTATTTCTAAAATGTATAGAAAGCAAAAAAAAAAATCCTTTAAATGTGGTTGGTGTGGGACAGAGTCTTTGTCTCAGCACAGAATATCTGTGTGCTCCCCTTCACATTTATGGCTTTGATTGAAACCTGTAAAGGGGTGATCTGTAAAGTATTCCTGCTATCCTACACTTCCCAACAGGTTTATTACCATTCGTTTATAAAATGAACAATCTAACGAGCAGTGGTTTAGATCACAGCTATCAAAGTCTGGTCATTTGTCAAGATTAGTTTCCTGTTGTGAGATTGCCTTGTGCAAAAAGAGTGCATAACCTTGTGTTCCTCTTGGGAAGCTGAAAAAATACCTATAAACACCCTATAAGATAGGTTTAATGAAAATTTTATAATCTCAGAATTCAGCCCAACACGCTGCTCCGTGTGTGTGTGTGTATTTGTGTGAATGCATGTTATAACACAGAGTACCTGTGTAGAGGGGAGGGAATTTTCTTGACAAGAGTTAAATTCGGGGTATGAAGTCCGTGCAGTATTGTCAGGGCAATTTAATGTTCATTTGAATGAGTTAATCTACACTGATGACAGTGTAATTCGTTATAGCTAAAAGGCTGCCTTGGGAAGCCCTGTTGCAAAAGCACCATCTTTACAGGAATAGTCGGTTGCCAGTAAATAGCACAAAGTATTTTCTATTCATGTTAGATATGTTTATTTTGAAGAAAAAGAAGAAGCACAAACAGTCACTAAGGCAGTATGACAGCGAAGGTGCAGGTCAGGGAAACAACAGGCTCCACAGGACAAGGAGGTTATCTTCCTGTCCCTGTCTGAGGGAAGGTGCAGGGGGTTTATGCTTTCCTGCGCTTTTCTTCTTGAAATTATCTGTAAACTGTGTCACATTTGTGTTTTCACGGCGCTGGACGGTGGCGCATTGTGCGGTTTGCTTGGGAGACAGCCGGAGGCAGCCGCAGCCCATCCGGGAGCGGTCCCAGCCCTGCCGGGCGGCCCCGGCACCCGGCGGCTCCGGCAGCATCGCCGTGCCGGGGCAGAGCCCTCGGGGAGGCTGCCCGTTCCCTTTCTCCCGGGAAGGCTGCCCCTTCTCCCGGGAAGGCTGCCCGTTCTCCCGGGGAACCTGCCCGTTCTCCCGGGGAGGCTGCCCGTTCCCTTTCTCCCGGGAAGGCTGCCCCTTCTCCCGGGAGGCTGCCCGTTCTCCGGGGAGGCTGCCCGTTCCCGTTCCCCCGGGAGGCTGCCCGTTCCCTTTCTCCCGGGAAGGCTGCCCGTTCTCCCGGGGAACCTGCCCGTTCTCCCGGGAAGGCTGCCCGTTCCCGTTCTCCCGGGGGGCTGCCCGTTCCCGTTCTCCCGGGAGGCTGCCCGTTCCCGTTCTCCCGGGGGGCTGCCCGTTCCCCGGGCCGAGGGGCGGTGGGCACTGCCCGCCGGGGGCGGCAGGGCTGCTCGGAGCCCGTGTGCGGGCGCTCCCGGTGCGGCGGGATCGGGTCTCGGGGCCAGCGGGTGCGGGTACCCCGGGGACAGAGCCTTCGCACCGGCTCTGCCGCTCCTGAGCTCTCCAGGTGTGCCCCGACCTGAGGGCATCCCCTCGGACAGAGGCCAGGCTTGGTTAAACGGGTCAAATAGGTTTAAGCAATTAAACAGAAACAACTATTGTAGTGCACCCTTTCTTTTTTCTTTTTTTTTTTTTCTTTATTTTTTCTCCTCTTTGTGTGTTAATCCTTTTGGACATAAAATTGTGTAGAGATAAAAATATTTTCTGTTTAGGAATTTGCTGGCTAAAGCATTGTGAAGAAAACCTCGCGGATAAAGCAAACAGAGTGTATGGAATAAACCTTCCTGTTCATGGCAGTGCCCAGGGTCCTGGGTGGCATCAGTTTCCTTTTGGTCACTTTAATTCATCACATACCTGAAAAAGAGCCACCCAGGCCACCTCGCTGCTCCTGAGGTTGTGGCTGTGCAGGGGTGTGCGCCGTGCTCCCGACTGGTCCCTCCTGGGTACGGCCGGGGAACAGCCCAGCTCCCGTCTCTCAGCCTTTTTCTGGATGCCGTGTGCAGCCACACTGACATTTGCTTTTCCCTCCTGCCCACTGCCTCCAGCCCTTTGCCGAGGGCTCGTACTGCCATTTTCCTGCTCTTCTCTGCTCAGACAAAATGGAGGCTCTGGAGGAATGAATAACTACCACAGCCTTAGCCTTCTAAAATCAGAGAGAATTGCCTTTTTTTGGTGAAAAATTATAATTTTGATGACAGAAAAAAGTCAGCATACCCCATGCTAAAAGATAGAATCTAATTTTTTTTTTTTTTCTGTGAGCACACTGGTGCAGTGATGTTCATTTCCTTGCTGAAATGTAAATGTTCATGCACCTTGCACTGTGATGTATTGCCATAAAAGACACTGAATTTCAAATCACCAGCACACCATGTGACACAGGGATGCAACAGCAATCCGTCTTTATTTGAGGCAGCCCTTTTCTGAAATCTCACTTAGGGAGATTCCCAGCTGCCATTAGGAAAGCAAAATAAAATTAATCTAAATATTTCTAACTTAAACCTAGAAAATTAATGATGGATGAAAGACAGGGTTTACAGAGCATTAATAAGAACTAGTCTGGATGCAGTGTGTGTTCTAGGGTCTGTGATTATACTGGTAATTTGACAGATTGTATCACTGCCTATCTCTGCCAAAGGATGTTTCACACCATTTGAAATGCACAGTACTTCCTTCAGAGACAGGTTGTTCTGGAATAACTCAACATCCAAAGAAAAGCTGTGTTATTTCACTCCTCTCTTTATTGATTGCATGTGTACAATCATGTGTGTATGCACACGTGCTGACTTTGCTTCAGCAAAAGCACAAAGTTTTCATGCTCAGTTCTGTGTTTATCCTCCTCAGAGACAGACAATACCAAAAATGGAAAGTCTGTTCAGAATAGGGCTTAAGTGCTGAAACCAGAGACCCTGCATTAAACAAAGCATGAGCTGGTCCTTCCTCTAAAAGGCGAATTGAAATACATTTGTGTTTAAGCAATTACCCAACTTCAGGAGCTCCCTTTTGTTTCTCATTTTGAAAAGGAAAAAACCACTGAGACAAGAACAGATCTTAGTGGGCTTTGCCCAGGAAAGGTGACTTAGGGAATCTCGAGACCAAAGGAATTGAGATTTGAAAAAATTGCACGCCTGTGCTATTTCCAAGCCTAAGGATGCAAGCCTTGCCGTGAGCAGAAGCATGAGCCGGGCTGGTCTGTGCAGATCAGCTGGGTTTGGATCCAGGCAGGGCATGACCTGATGCTCCCCTTGACCGTGCTGCCTCTCCCTTGCAGGCTGTTCGCTGCCAAGTGCAGCGGCTGCATGGAGAAGATCGCGCCGACGGAGTTCGTGATGCGCGCGCTGGAGTGCGTGTACCACCTGAGCTGCTTCTGCTGCTGCGTCTGCGAGCGCCAGCTGAGGAAGGGCGACGAGTTTGTCCTCAAGGAAGGGCAGCTGCTCTGCAAAAGTGACTATGAGAAAGAGAAAGACTTGTTGAGCTCGGTCAGCCCAGACGACTCAGACTCAGGTGAGCTTTTCCCACACCTGCTCTGACTGGAAAAGCTGCATGGGTCTGTAGAGCTTTTGTGTAGAAAAGTGCATCCATTTTCTCATCCTCATCATCTGTATGCATGTGCCACCTATGCAAATTTGCAGGCACAGCTGAAAACATTCCTACTGGCAGTCTGCTTTCCCTAACCTGACTCCCTTCCTTAACCTCCTGCTTAGTAAAAGACAGAATCTTTTTGCTGCCATCAATGTGTTTTCCTGTAAGATCACAAAGCATGAATCAGACTGACTTTAGCTACCCAAGGTCTCACTCAAGTGAGGCATCAGTGTGCTGTTCTCCATAGGCATTCTTCCATCCACTTAACATATTTTTCAGGGGATCTTCTTCACATACAATTTCAGCACTAAACTAAGAAAATGGGCAGAGGAGTAATATGGTTTTCAAGAGGAATCTCTCTGCCAATTACCTCTGCCAATTATCAAATAGTACCTTTAAAAAAGATTGCGAGTGCAACACAGAAGTACTGAAGAGAATTTGAAAGTAACTGAGATGTGGCTTTCTGCCATCATAATTGCACACTTGTTTCCCAAGAAAATATATAAGATAATCAACAGTTACCATTCCATTACATGTACAAATGACATATTTGCCGCTGGTTTATGGGAAAATGTGTTACTCTGTTTTAACTGGTAGCAGAAATTATCCTTGATCTCTAATCAGAGAGTCATATTCTCCACATTGCTAAAATCTGTATTTCCACACCAGGAATGCCTCAAGACAAAGGTCTCTGCAAGCTTGGCAGTGCCTGGGCCCAGGGCCACTCTGGGAGCAGTGTTTTAGTTATTGTCACACTGCGTTGGCAGGACCTTGAGTGCTCTGCTCAGTAAATCCCAAGTCATGGGGTCTGGGCTTTGGTGAAACGCGAGTTTCCACCTTGCCCCCACCTGCTCAGGTGAGCCCTGTGCCCCTGCCCGTGCCCACCACAGCCCGTGCCCAGCTGGTGCAGGGTGTCCCCCGCTGGGGCTGGCACAGGCGCTGTCCCCGCGGCTCCTGGCTCACACAGCCAGGGCTGGCATCAGCCTGGCATCAGCTTTGGCAGGGTGGGCTCCTCTGCGGGGCCAGACTGACCCGTGGTCTGCAGCGAGCAGCTACCAGGTCGCACAAACCAGGCTTGGTTTCAATTTCATTTCCCTTTGGCACAAAGGGGAGTTTCTTAGTCCTGGAGATGCTTCTTTTCCCTCATTATTCTCTGTTAGTCAAACCCAAACCTGAAAAACAAGCTGACAAATTAAACAAGTTGTTTGTCTCCCATTGTCTAACAGAGTGAAAACACTGATCTCCCAGGGGTCTGTGTGAGAGCACACAATCTGCAAAGCCCTGGCTGAGAATGTGTCCTGCTTCAATCAAATATTTATCCACTGGACACAAAAGTAACTCTCCAATGAGCAGTATTAATCCTCACAAACCTTTCCTTAGAAATGGCATGCTGGAAAGTTAATAATGTCATGGTTATTAAAATGACTGAACTTCTCTTTAATCATTAGGCCAAAGATGCTTATTAAAGTAAAAGGTAATTAGACTGCTAGGTGCATAATAATCAGACCCTAAAATGAATTAAAGTCTAATTTGTTGATTCCCCAAATGTAGTCTTTCAGTATATAAAAAATTCTGTGTGTTTCTTCATGTTGAAGTCCCTGTAATAATGTGATAGTGTTTTCTGGAAAAATCAGTAGTCTGGTCAAATAAAATATGCTGAGTTGTAAAGTTGATTTTCTCAACAAAATGTGTATTTACCCATCAACCTTTGCCACTGTGCTTGAGATTTCCCAGGACAATATACTAACACATGTAATATCACCAGATTATATGAGTATTCAGAATTTAATTATAGAAAATACAAAGAATCTCTTTGGTCTACACAAGCACATAGATACTTGTATGCATTTACTGAAAAAGAGAAGTATGTGCTTGTACATACAGACACATTTTAATGCACAGAGGAAGATTACTGGTGTTTTCTGTGGGAAGTAGAAATGGGATGACAAAGATTATATTTAATATTATCGCAGGAGCTTCAAAACATTCAAAACAGTATTCAATAACTGGAATCTGCACTGTATTTAGTTAGATTCGAGATACTTGTGTGATACTTGCTTTGTGCTGCTTTGCTGCTGTTCAGTGCAGGCAGCAGTAGCTGTCTGCAGAGAGTGCTTCAGGTGAAGCTGTGCAGGTGAAGGTGTTTGTCTGCTGTGCAGGTAAAGGTGTTTGTCTGCTGTGCAGGTGAAGGTGTTTGTCTGCTGCTGAGATCGGGGCAGGTGAGCACAGGGGACCAAGAGGTGCTGGAAAGGCACAAAGTGTCTCTGTGCCCAATTCCTGGAAATGCTGAAGCATTTTCTGAGTTTCCATCCCCTGATCAGTCCCGTGTCCTCAATTAAAAATTGGAAGCATTTTCTGCCTTTGTGGCATCTGATTTAGGCAGAGCAGCAGATCTAAGATAGTCTCTTCCTGCCCACAGCTGCTTTAGGTGTTCAGATAACCCTGGGACAGTAGTTGAACCTGTTGGCTGAAGAGCAGTTCTCAAACATCCTGTTTTCTTGGTGGAACCAGTGCAATCATATATCCTTTTTCCACCAGTGAAAAGTGATGATGAAGATGGAGACGTTAAGCCCACCAAAGGCCAAGTAACCCAAGGGAAGGGAAGCGATGACGGGAAGGACCCCAGGAGACCCAAACGACCGAGGACAATACTCACCACACAGCAGAGGCGAGCGTTCAAAGCGTCCTTTGAAGTGTCTTCTAAGCCCTGCAGAAAGGTAGGTGCTTCAGCAGGGACCAAGTCAGCCCTGACACCGGCCACAGCCGCAGACAGAGACAGCCCTGCCCCGTCCTGGGGCAACAGCAGTTCTCCTGGGCTGAAAGCAGAGCACTCTTTTTGCACAGAAATCTTTTATGGGTAAAACTTAGTGTCATTTTCCTCAGCTCAGACTCTTTGTGCAGTAGTTACAGAGCTGGTGGCACCATCAGGGGCAGAACTTGACAACACTATGCAAAAATATGACAAATTTTTAAAAGTAATTCCATACGTGCAGTTTTTGTTGTAAGTACAAACATTTCTCCTGACAAAACTGATTAGTGTTTTTTGGTGGTTTTGGTTTGTTTGGTTTTTTTGGTTTTTTTTTTTTTTTTTTTTTTTTTTTTTTTTTTTTTTTTTAACTTATGAAAAATTGCATCATTAAGCATTTCTTTCTGCAGGTCAGAGAAACATTGGCAGCTGAAACAGGGCTCAGCGTGCGAGTCGTCCAAGTCTGGTTTCAAAACCAAAGAGCAAAGGTAGGCTGTTTGTCACATCCTCAAAAGTCAGATGCAGGCTGTGCCTCCACATGGGCTCTTGCCTGGATGCAGCCCACTCTGCAGAAGTCCCACAGCTGGGCTCTGCGTGTCCTGCCTGCTCTGCTCTCTACATCCACACTGGAAAGGCAACTTCCAAACACAGACATTAAATTCATATGCTCAAAGCAACTCAGGGTTGGGAGTAAATTTTGCATGCAAATCTGAACTGGAAACTGAAATGTTTAAGCTTAGAATTTAAACTGAGCCCACAACAGTCTGCGCATAGTTATAAATGATCTGTGTTGACTGATGTTTGCAGAGTTTTGTAAGGAAACAAAATTGCTGCATTTGGAGCTATGAGATTGTTGTGTTCTGCTTTTTTCAGATGAAAAAGCTAGCACGAAGGCACCAACAGCAGCAGGAGCAGCAGAACTCGCAGCGACTAGGACAAGGTAGGGGATTTGTGGAAAAGCAAAGTGAGAGAGAAAGACTCTGCAGTTGTCTGGAGGTGCCATTGCCACACGACCCTTTAGCACAGCCATCCAGGGCAGGTCTGCGGGCACGTGTGCCACCAGCCCTGCAAGGACACAAAGCTGTGCTGAGTGCCACGCCAGGCTACCCCGGCTTCTCCTGGCGGGGCAGAGCCCAGGTGCTCATGCAGGGGCTGTTACCTCGTTTCTATAGAAATGTGCCACGTGGAGCTGTCTGCACAGGAGGAAATCTCCAGGAGGCTTGCTCCAGACACATCCTTTGTTTGCTTTCTTCCGCAGCAAGGGGCGCAGAGCTGAGCTGGGAACCTGCACAGGCAGCAGTGGTACTGCCCCAGCCATGCACGGAGAGCCCCTCCTGTGCCCCCACAGGGGTCTGCACCCAGGGGCAGGCACTGCACACGGGCACTGCGGCTTGCTCTGCTGCTTCTGGGGGCTCTGGAGTATCTCCAGATCCCAAATCCTCAGCTTTACCCAGAACAGAAAAACTGGGACCTGCAGAAGTTAGAGAATAACTGGGCTCTGTCAGACACAGTGTACAGACTTTTGGAGGATAAGGTCCAGGACTTAGGAGCTCCAGAAATTATGTAGGAATTACAAGTCTTTCAGCTTATTGCTCAGGGCTCTAGGCTCAGACAAAATTTGGAAAGTTTCTCTGAGTGACAGGATCCCCCTGACTGCATTTGCTAGGGCTCATTGTTGACTCTGCCCTGTTCCCAGCAGTAACTGTTCCTCCTCTTTGCTTTGCAGAAGTGATGTCCAACCGAATGGAAGGGATGATGACATCTTACACACCACTTGCACCACCACAGCAGCAGATTGTAGCAATGGAGCAAAGCAGTTATGGCACAGACCCATTTCAGCAGGGTCTTACCCCTCCACAAATGCCAGGCGACCACATGAACCCCTATGGTAAGGCATGCCTCATTCTGCCACATCCCAAGTAGCTGGGTCTGTGTGCTGATCACACACCACAGGGGCAGCAGCTTTACTGGCTTTTAGAATATTTTTTTCTGGGATTTGTACCAGGGAATTTGTACCAGTCAGTTTTATGTGTGTATTTTCTTGTACACTTAAGGGGGTAGAACAGAGCTCATCTCAAGCTCTGTACACCTCTCAGAACTATTTCACAGTATAATTCTGATAAACGATAAGCAAACGACATCACCTCTCCAAGCCCCACTTTTTTAAACCACTGTCCAAGACACTGAAAAATAAACAGTACCAAATTCTAGCTCCCTCACAAATTTTTCCTTTTTTCTTAGAAGCTTTGAGGAAAAAGTGCCTTCAATAAAGAGAAGTAATCTATTCAGTACAAAATGAATAAGCAGCCCTGTAAGACCACTCAGATTGGATGCGTGGATTTGTTAAAGGACAGTTCTTGAGCTACTAAGAGATGGGTTACCACAGGACATTTCTCCTGCATGGTTTTATTCTCTGTCCCAAATCAAGATGACGGTTTGCTTTCACGATTGCTTGACCCCACATCAAACGCAGTGCAAGCACTAAATGCTCAATTATTGGTTCTGGACAATTGCAGTGTGGCATTTAAAAAGAATGCCAGAGGATTTTCCAGACTGTGATTCTCGGCCTTGCGGTAGCCCACAAGGGCCTGTCTCAGACTCCTTCTGCTGACCAGGAGCACTTCACTGTAGAGGCTCACAGGCGCATCACTGTCCCGAGCACAGGCCAACAGGAAATCTGCCTTGGCTCTGTGTCACTGCTTTTGCCACTGAGACAAGTCCGTGGTGCACGCCAGGACGTTTGGGAGGTCCTGTAAGGAGCTGAGGACATATGAAGTGCCCTCGAGCATTAGGTGGCTTGTGATTTTGTTGGTTTCCTTGGCTTTCTGAGTGAAACTCCTTGGGAAGTAGGTTCTGTGCTCCAAGGGGGGCAGGGGATGGCACAAAGCCCTTCCAAATGAGCGTGTGAGGGAAAAGAACCAGACTAGCACTTTCTCAGAGCCCCCAGGACTTGAGCTAGAGCTTTTTCGGGTACCTTCAGTGTTGAAGTAAGCTGAAGTCTTAGTTGCTAAGGGAAATAAAAGGTGCTGTTCCAGACCAGCCCTGAAAGAGTGGAATTTTCTGAAAGGAGAGCATGTTTACAACTGTAGCTCACTTGAGGCCAGGGAAACTAGGTCTCTTCTGGGTCCTGTCCCACTGGTAGAGCTTTTGCCTTGCGTGTCTATGAAGACCAGTATGACTATGGCTCTTAGACCACGCTTCCCTGTCGTGGGCACGCTGATTCCACCTCTCTTGGCAGTCCTGGTGCTCCCGTGAGTGCTGGAGCCCGTGGAGAAGCTGGGGACCTGCTCCTCCCCAGCACCGTTTGCTGCTGTTTTGTGCCGCTGACTGAGATTGGAATGAAATCCTGGCAGGTTTGGGCGCACTGCTGCCAGCTGGCCCCTGTGGGTTGATTGCAAGCCCTGCTCCTCGCAGGTCAGAGCCCAGCCCTGGCACTGACGTGAGCACAGGAGCAGCAGCACTCCCGTTCACCCGTGTGTTCTGTGTCCTCCCCTGGCTGCGCAGCACCCAGCCTAACGTGTGCGTTTCATTTGCAGGAAACGACTCCATTTTTCATGATATCGACAGTGATACCTCTTTAACTAGCTTGAGCGACTGTTTTCTTGCCTCTTCCGAAGTTAACTCCATGCAGGCTAGAGTAGGAAACCCCATTGACAGGCTGTACTCTATGCAGAGCTCCTATTTCGCCTCATGAAAGTAAAGAAAACTAACAGCCGGCGTGTGTTTAGCCAGTGACTTTTCCAGTGCAGACTCTACAGCCATATGTTGCCCAGCTCTTCCTTCACAGTGACTCTGCTGCCTCTGGACTGCAAAGAGCATTTTTTTAGGAAGACTGTCTCTGTTTGCATATATGTGTATGTATGTATATATATTTTAATACCTACATACCTACATATATAGAGAGACAAAACACATCCACCCGTCCCATACCCTTGATTCCCAGCTGGCGCCAGACCACGAGACAAGCACGGAAGGAACAGAAGAACCTGCTCGTCCTCAGCCTTTGATCTGGTTTGGTTTGAGCTCATCATCTTAAAAGAAATGGATTTTGTGGAAAGCTAAACCTTTTCCTCCTCTCTCTTCTCCTTTCTTTTGGATGTCTAAACTTTTTTTTTAGCCACTGATACTGACATCAGTCAACCATATGACAAATAAATCAAAGAAACTGGAGATTCCTCCTTTTCTTACTGCATGATTCATACTATGTTGTGGATAAATTGCCATTTGAACTGTGAGAAGTTAATGTAAATGTGACGTTCAACATTTGTTTCCTTTCTACACTTTTCCTACATAACCTAGATCTGCTCATTAGTTTATAGCCCTTATGCGTATGGTACTGAGGAAACTGGTTACCAGTATTTGTGGAGAAAGCCAGTGATTTCAGAGTAAGAAAGGTCTATGACCCTGGAGAGGAGATGCATGTTAGGGGCAGAGGCATTTAGGTTAGTATTGATCTTAAATAATTAAAACTAAAGGTGCTTACAAGACAGATCTATTTAATTTTTTCTGAAGTGTGAGATGAAAATATTTACATTTGTTTGTAAGTATTGCAGTGCCAAATTTCAAGTCTAGACCATGATTGGCAAAGAAGTGTTTTTCATTCTGTTCTGTTTATTTGTTTTGCATGAGGCATAAATGTGCTGTTCTCTATTGTCCATCCGGAATAATTAAGCACTGTTTTAGTTACCTTGCCTCAGCAAGAATCAAGGATACACAGTTCTAGTCTGAAACACCAGAAGTCCTGAAATGTGCACCAGCCAGGAACAGGAAACTATGAGAGAAATTGCGATGGGAAGTTCAGGTATGTTGAGCTGAATTTTAGCAGGGCTGCAGATGCCCCTGGTGCCAGCTGGTGACCAGCGCTGCAGGGACGGCTGCACCCAGGGAAGGGGGCCCAGCTGACCTCTGCCTCTGATGCTGAGGTGTGAGCATATGTCATATAGATTTTTGTAGGGCATAAAATATCATAAATAATAATAGTATAGCTATAAATATTGCCTGGTGATAATTATAATGTGGAGAAGCAGACAAGTACAGTCATGGCTCTCAGTAGAGAAAACTTCTTGGGGAATATTTGCCAGGGTAATATCAGTAATTATAGGGTGTGTTCAAAATAGAGCTCATGGGGAAAGATTGGCAGGATAGGCACTTTCTTAAATAAATACCTTTAATATATTGACCATAATAGCTGAAAAACAAGTCCAAAGCTTTCGTTAATCTAGCTCCTCCAGGCTGAGGACTGGTACCAGGCCAGCGCTGCAGCGTCCCCGTGGGGCTTGGCATCTCCTGTGGGAGCGTGGGGCTCCCGTGGAGGGGAGGCCAGAGCAGGACCCCCGCAGCCTCAGCCCCCATCAGCTGGGGGGGACAGGCCCTCCTGCCTCCGGGGGCTCGCGTGGGAAGGGCAGGATGATGGGGCCGGGGCAGAAATTTCCTTTTTCCCCCAGCGTGGAAGGGTGGGCTGAGCGTGCTGGAGGCTTCTTGGGAAAGCCGAGTTTTATCTGCAGCGTAAGTGCGTAGGTTCTCACTCTGCAGAGGACGAGAGCACGTGCATGAGGCTCTGCGTGTGCCTGTGTGTCCGTGTGTCCGTGTGCGTGTGTGTCTGTCTCTGTGTGTGTCTGTGTGTCTGTCTCTGTGTCTGTCTGTGTGTGTGCATGTCTGTGTGTGTCTGTGTGTCCGTGTGTCTGTGTGAGTGTGTGTCTGTCTCTGTGTGTGTCTGTCTCTGTGGGTGTCTGTGCCTCTGTATGTCTGTCTGTGTGTGTCTGTGTGCGTGTGTGTCCGTGTGTCTGTGTGTGTGTGTGTGTCTGTCTCTGTGTGCGTCTGTGTGTCTGTGCCTCTGTGTGTCTATGCCTCTGTGTGTGTGCATCTGTGTGTGTGTGTCCGTGTGTCTGTGTGTCCATGTGTCTGTGTGTGTGTGTGTGTGTGTCTGTGCCTCTGTGTGTGTGCGTATCTGTGTCTGTGTCCGTGTGTCCATGTGTCTGTGTCCACGTGTCTCTGTGTGTCCCTGTGTCCGTGTGTCCGTGTGTGTGTCTGTGTCCATGTCCGTGTGTCCGTGTGTCCGTCCCTGAGTGCGTGCCCGTCGTGCAGGGGCAGAGCTCAGTCCCAGCACCGCCCTCCCAGTGCTTGGGGCGCAGAGCCCCCATGTCCCACACACAGCCTCGCTCAGGGGAGGGACTGGTGGCTCTGCCAGGGTTCCAGGGGACACCCCTGTCCCTGTCCCTGTCCCTGTCCCTGTCCCTGGCTGCTGCCATCCCCAGGAAGGTGGGTCTGTGGTGTCCGTAGCCTTTGCCTAGTGACCATTCCCTGCTTTCTGGCAAGGATGTGGTTTCAACTGAGCCTTGGGAGCCCCTGGATATATTTTGAAATGGAAAGGATTTTCTTTTCTCACCCATCCTGTTCAAGTATTTTTCCCTTTCCTTGTGTATCCAAATAACAATTTCCTTTCTCTCTGCATGATAGCAAACATCTATAAAGAACTCAGGTGATCCTCACTGCTTGCAGGGCAGAAGCAAGCAGGTTTCATATGGCACATGTAAACATGTCATTTGTCACACCGATCTCGATGGATTCATCGTTCCCCTCTTCTCCCCTCTGCTGTGCTACTTTACAGTCACAGAAAAGCCTCTCAGACGCACCAGTTTGTAGGCTCCTCACACAAGCACAGCCTTGCTTCACATCTCATTACTGGCAGGATCAAAATGGCATTCTTGGTGTTTACAGGGACTTACATGAGAACTATAACATGACCTACAGTTTGGAGAACTGCCTTGTCCCAACTCTACCTCTGCATCTGGGATGGATGTTGAAAAATAATCCATCTCCAAGGAAAAAATCAGACATCCCATTTTATAGCTGAAGTATAATTTGCTGATTTTTTGGATGACTGTTTGTCACCTTTTTTTTCGTGCTTGTACATAGTATCTCCTCTCCCTTGGTGTGTCGTATGATGATGCCTTAGCTGTTTGTTGCCCCATGTTCTGCCACCTTTGGAGCCACACACACGCACACATTCAGGCCCTTGGCACGTTCTCCATGCCATGGTGGGCCGCTGCTGGTCCAGGGAAGGAATGCGTAGGCAAAGACATCCAGTGGGCCTGCAATAGCTGGCAAAGGCCAAAGTTCATTAAAGCAAAATAAATGTCACTTCTTTTTGTGGAATAAATTATCCTACTGGAGTGTGATCATTGTGGTTTTAACCTGGGACCTTGCAGTAAAAGATTATACAGCAGCCTCTGACCTCTTTGATTTCTGCTTTACTCTTCTGTTGTCAAGGGAATGTCCCTGATCAGGTGAAAGTAAAATGTTTAATGGGCCATATCACAGTAATATCTTACATTGAGTCAAATTGATAAACTCTTGCCAAAAATTCTTAGCATCTGGCACTTCCACGGAAACCACAAACAATGATTGCACATATGGGAGCTCAAAGGCCAGAGGTCATGACAGCAGTTTATTACATGCACCTTACAGTGATCATTTTCCCTAGGAAATTAACCCCTCTCTAACAGAAATGCATCAAGTGAGCTCTTCACGGTGTTTCCATCATATTGTTTTGGCTAATCAAGGAATAAGTGTGCAGCTAAAGTGGTGACAAGATGCAATTAAGTAAAAGATGATTGATTAGGTTTCAGTGTGCTTAATAATGTACAAAAAAGATGATTGTGAGATCAGAATGAATGCGCTGGGTATGAGCTCAGAGGTCCTCCTTGTGCAGCTGCAGGTCTGTGACGGCGGCAGGGCTCCCAGCACCCCGGAGCTGAGCTGCAGGAGCTGGTCCCTGCTGGGCTCTGGGATGGGCAGCAGCCCCTTCCCCTGGCCTGGCTGGCTTCGAGGGGGCTCCAGACCCTCCTTGTCACTGCCCTGAGGGGCAGCCCTGGGGCTGGTGGCAGACATTTCCAGTCACAATATTGAAGACAATTATGTTGCTGTAAATAAATGGTGGTGGTTACACTCACTTATATTGAAACATCATCCTGGGTATTTTGATCTCCTTTTCTCCTTTAAGCTCTGTCTCAAAAACACCCAGATCACTTGGCCCAGTCGCAGCTAACCATGCCTGAGATGTGGCTCGTGTTAGTCACACAGTAGCTGCTGAGTGGATTTTTCAAACCCACCCTGCAGAACTCAGATGATCATTACCAGGTCCTTTGAAGGTCATTGCTCAGCCACCATGCTGAGCATCCTGTCATGGGGAAGGTCCTTCATGCCAGCAAACCTTCCAGAGATGATGTGAACCCACTTCCCTCTTCCTCCTGTGCTCAGGACTCCCTTCCAGTTTCCTTAAGGGTCAGAGGTACATCCCAAGCCACTGCCCTAGGTACTCTGAACCAGCTCTGGGATGCTGCTGGGATGCTGCAAGCTGGGGTTTACAAGAGCACCTCTGTGAACCGTGTCGTAAGAACTCTGGTTCTCTCTGAATGCCACTAGAAATGAGCAGCAGAATCGTGAGGAGGGGAAGGATGCTCACCAGCTGGAGCTGGGTCGCAGCAGTGAAAGGACAGAGGCACAGCACGGCTGTGGGAGCTGCAGCCACAGTCCCCAGGGTCTCAGTGCTTCGGGCCATGCTTCACACAGCCCTGCCCAGCCCTCCCCACGAATCTGTGAGCAGTGGCTGCTCCTGGCACGCTGCAGAGCCCTCCTGTGCCCTGGGGCACAGGGCAGCCACAAGGCCAGGACTCCGGGCACCGGTGCTCCTTGCTTAGGGACATGCTTGGGCATTTGCTGGCCTGAAGCCTCTTGGCTTTGGTGGGCTTTCAACACGGTCTTGCTGCTCTGAGGCCGATCTGACGGCGCTGATGGCTGTTCCCTCCTGCTGGCTGCAGCCTGGATCTCCTTGGCTCCGGGCACTCTGCTTCTGCTCAGCAGCAGCTGTGAAGGGGCTGCCAGATACTTTGCATTGGGAACTCTGTTTTTAGGTGAACACCCTATTTTTTAGCTGTGT